CCTTAATTTCCTGATCTTCCCCACCTAGCAGCTCAGCAAGAAACCAAAAGAAAACACAGTAAGTGTTCCTAGGCCAATCTCATCCATTCTTTTTCTTTTAAGGTTTTCATCCTCTTTTGCTTCAATCTCTGAGTTTGTTATGTTTGGCTTGTGTTGTTGTTAGTGGTGTCTAGATGGTGTTTGGATTGGTGTTGAGTAGAATGGAGGCTGAGGTTCACACGAGGAAAAAGAACAAGAAGAAGATGCAATAAGAGGTATAACCCCATAGATTCCTTCTTGAATTTGGCTCTGTGAAGCCTTTATATTGAGTAGAAATGAGTAGAATCTATGAGATTTTGTTGTGTTTATGCTTAGAAGTGATCTAGTATTTGTTTGTGAGTTGTTGAGATTCCACAGAGATAGAACCACGAGATTGGTTCCGTAGACGGGAGGAGATATTGGGTCGGATTTATGCCGTTCCCGATGGGGTAATTCACGCATCGGTGAAACCTAAGCCATCTACGAGTAAAAGAAAGAAGAGAGTCAAAAGAGACTCAAGAGAAAGAAAGCGAGTCAAAAGAGACTCAAGAGAAAGAAAGTGAGTCAAGAGAGACTCAAGAGAAAGAAAGCGAGTCAAGAGAGACTCAAAAGTAAGAAAGAGACCTCCACAGAAAGTACTCTATTTTTATAATGAGTGATTGAGTATATATATATATATATATATATATATATATATATATATATATATATATATATATATATATATATATATATATATATATATATATAGTATTGCACGAGATTGCATATGATTACAGCTTTGCACAAGGTTGCACATGAGTATGATTATAGCATTGCACCAGATTGCATTTGAGTAAAGTATCGCATGAGAGTACATAATGAGAATGTTGATTTATCATAGTCATGTTGTATTAGAAGTCTTGTTTATCGAATTATGAGATGAGAATATGAAAGCATGATAATACCTGTTATATGGTTTATTAGTATGATCCTACCTGTAAGCATGAATTACTTGTTAAGTTATTTGAGAAGTTTATATGATGATGAATTTAAGTGAACAGTCTTTTATATTTATATATATATATATATATATATATATATATGAGCGTGCCAGCTGATATAATAGGGTGCAAGCATCTAGAAAGTATGTGTTAGATCTAAAGATGATTCGAGATGAGTTTATTGTTTATAAAGAAATCAAATGTTTTCAAAGTAAATGCTAGAATGCTTTACAGGGTTGAGTGTGGTTATACTTAGTTTCGTGCTAACGGGTGTTTTCCTATTTGTCTATGTGTTGCTTGCAAAACCCCTTTCAGGTGGGCCCAGCAATGAGAAGAGATCGAGTTAGATTAGTTTCTTAGTTTGAGATGTCTAAACTCTAGTTTTATTGATGATCATGTTATGGATTTTAGACTTATTGACTCTATGTTTTTTTGAGGATGATGTAGACTTTTGGGGTGTCGTTTTCCCCCCTTTTGTTTCCAGTATTTTATTTGGATGCTAGATTTTTATCTTATTTCTAGTTTTACCCCTTAGCATGTGCAATCACTACGGAGTGGTGGTTGTGGCGGTGACACTCCCACTAATTACCTTTTTAGTTATTATTTCCGTTGCTTAGTTATATAAATGGCTGTTTAGAATTGTAATTAAGAGTTAGAAAAGTGGGGTGTTACAATCTGAGTCAACTGTTGTCGGTTCTGAGCCACTAGGTCGTGTGCGGGGGTCTCAGGAGTCCTTGCCTGGTTTCTTAGTGGTGCCATTTCAGGTTCTACAGGTTTAACACCGGCCATAGATGTAAGTCAGGAACTCTCACCCTTACCTTGGTGCTTAATTGCAAGAACTTTAAACTAAGCAAAGAGCAGTTTAGAGGAAAGCTAAGCAGAAAGCGATGAATAAACTCACAATCTCACCGCGCGTCCTAAGATTCTTAAGTCCTAAATACTTAAACATCTAGAGTTCGAGCTTAATATCCTAAAGTCTTATCTTAAAGGCATTGTCCTAGGGTCGAGCTTAAGCTCTGATACCAACTGTAACACCCCTAATTTTTAAAACATTTAAAGCTTAAGAAGTAAAGGCGAATCTAACATTAATATCCAAACAGAGCGGAAGTCAAACATAAGAGTCGGAGTGCTATGCCACATCTAGGTGTGAGAACCTAGATGCACAGGCTAAACTATCTAAACAAAGCATAATTCACAATTAATATCCAAATACAAATCAAGGCACACAGGCCATAACAACTGCGACTAGAACTAACTAATGCTAAATCTACGATTCCATCTAGCGCGCACCGAAGCTACTGGTCAGTACCTGAAAAACATATGGTGTAGCAACCGTCAACGAATAATGATGAGTAACCCACTCCCACCCGTTGAGTACAATAAGTATAAATATAAGAAAACCATTTTGAGACTCGGGAATACATATATAATCCTAAACAACTATTACTTTAAAGCCAAGATCAAGACTCGAGACACAGCAACAGACTTGACATGATAAAACACATAAAGATACTAGCAAACAGACTTGACATGATAAAACACATAAAGATACTAGCATGCAACCTAATGCCACAAGGCAATACAACAACAAGATTCAATTGATAACAATCAACACAACAAACCTGTCCATGTTCCAACCTTATAACACCACTCCAACCTTATAACAGTTCCAACCTTTACCTCCAGGCCACCCTATACACCACACCCTTATCACTCTGGAGCGAAGCTCCCCGCCTATCCATCCGCCAATCCGTTCCGCCTACACAAAACACAATAACACACCAAAGGTACTGCAGCACCACACTCCAAAAGTACTCCAGCCCATAACACCAAAGGTACTACGGCACCACACTCCCAAAGTACCGCAGCCCATAACACACCAAAGGTACTACGGCACCACACTCCCAAGGTACCACAGCCCCATCACATAAGCACGCTCAGTGCATCAAATCCGCCTATCGATTTTGTACTGCCAATCTCATATCTTTTCTTTTTACCATGGACAACAATAACAACAACCAATACTCCACAATCACAATATTCAATACTCAACAATAATACTCACACTCAACAACAATACTCAGCACTCAACAATACTTCAGCGAAGGATAGTCAAAAGGAAGGGCACCACAAACACATAGGCTCTTATCAACAACTGACACAATATAAACCCACAACCCACAGGGAACATCCTAGGTTCTCCGTCCAATGACAACAAAGAAACCACAAGACTCACAAGGGAGCATACAACCTCCTCCTAGGCCAACGGGATACCAAATCAAAACACATGCAATAACCAAGGCTCACAGATCCTAATTCGGTATCCACAACATCAAACTAGACTCACAAACATCAAACGGGGCACAACAGGGTACGGGGAAACAATAAACGGGATAAAACAATACTCTACCCACCCGTACCAGCGGGCGGTACGGCGGGTGGACAACCACCCGCCGGCAGACGACGCCGTACAGCGGGCTCACCGGCGAGTGGTCGTCCACCCGCTGGAACGGTGGCCGTACCGGTGAGTGGTCAGGTGGGGGTTCGTCCCTCCACCGACTACCCGCTGGTACACGCATTCCTTGGCACTTTTCCAACTCGGGAATCCATCAATTTCTCCCAAAACTAAGTCCAAATACATCCGAACACACATCAAAAATAATATGGACTTGAACAACGAGAACTAAGCCAAGAAACAATACAATTTACACCCTAATCATAAGCTCTAACATTCCAAGACTCAAGAATAAACACATAATTGTTCAAGAGCATCAAGAACATCAAGACTCCATCACATAAAACCTAAAGACAAGTTCTAAACATAATTAAATACAAGAACATGCAAACCACCACACAAGATCATCAAAAACATCAAGAATAGAAAGAATCCATATCATAAATCCTAAGACAAGCTCTATCAAGGCATAATCACACAATCATCCAAAGGAGCCAATAAATAAGATATAGGCAAGGATAATAGGTTTTGTAAGACATGGGTTACCTCTTAGCCTTAATTAAATCTTCCTTAGCCCCCAAGGTCCTTTTCCAAGATTTTCCTCCAAATGATCTTCCTGGGCTTGGCGACGGGGAATTCCCTGGCTAGGTTTCTAGGGGGAATTCTCGGGTAACAGGATTATGGGTGGAAAATGGTCATAAATACTTTCCAATCCCCTATTTATAGAATTAGGAATCCTAATTAGAGTATGAATAGTAAGGGCCCACTTTCTTTAATCCTAACAGGCTTAAAGGCTTCAGTCTAGGTAAAGGTCCATGATCCATCATGGACCACGTTAATTAATTGAGGGGATTGTAACCCAATTAAATCCTTTTTAACTATTTATTAACGGAATTAATTAAATGATTAATCTGGATTTAAAGATCGTAACACAGGGTGTTACAGTAACTTAGAATTAATATGAAAGGAACCTGTGTTTGAAATTGACAGACCTGTACTGTCCCCGACGCAATCCTTCAACATGCGATGTAGCATGGGCATTTGCCCCCATGTCCGGATACCAAACATTAGCGAATGGGGCGGTCTGAAGTTCATCTTGAGGCTGTTGATAGGCGACGTATGCATGCGGGGAGGCGACTCTACAAGGGGCAGACTGCACCTGCACAGGCCGCTGGCCAGAGACGCTGATAAACCAGCGGTAACATGTGAGTGCGGTGTGGCCGGGTGTGTCACAAATTTGGCAGTGCACACCCCCACGACCTCTTTGTTCGCGACCGCGTTGGCCCCTGTGACCACAATCGCGATTTCGAGAGACGTCGTTGTTCTGGTGTGGCGGTTGTTGGTGTTGAGGGAGAAGGGTCGATGGCGGCTTCTTCTGGAAATAAATATTGGTGTGTGGAAAGCAGATCCGCCACCTCTGGAATGGTAAGTGGGGCACTTTTCGTGGTCAGCGACGCAACCAGATCTCTGTATTCTGGGCGTAGACCGCGGAATACATGCAAGTTTTGCTTGTCAAGACCAATTGGACGACCTGTCTGAGCAAGCTATTCAACAAGAACCTGCGCCTTGCCAAGATACGCCGTCGGCGTCATGTCTTCTTGTCGGAGGTTCTGGAGCTGGCTGAGGAGGCTAAGTGACCTCGCTCGTGAGAATGAACCAAGCGCTGTCTCGACAGCCACCCACACAAACTTGGAGGTGGTGTGTCCTATAGCCAGATACATTACCTCTTCAGCTAAGGACAAGATGAGCATACTCAGGATAGACTGATCCTGTTGAACCCAAATAGCGTGGAGGGGATTCGGTGTCGGAGCCGCCGTCGACGAAGAGGTGGAGATGAACTCTGATGGGCACGCGTTTGTGCCATCGACAAATCCGTAGAGATTTTGTCCACGCAGAAAGGGTACAAGCTGAGCTCTCCAGAATAGATAATTCGTGGATGTCAACTTGATAGAGACATAATGGTGAGCCTGCTGGAGCATATTCGGGCTCCAGTGTTCGGCCAAAGTGGCTGTTTGTGCGGTGGTGTCCGCCGGAACATCGGTGGTGGGGGAAGGAATGGGGTTTTCATTTTGGTTGGCCATTAAGATCTGTTTAGTCTTATATCAGATGAGTGCTCAGAATGTTATTCAATGTATAAACAGAAAGTATTACAGAGTTATTTATACCCCAGGAAAGCATGGAATGAGCTAACAAACTAACAAACTAACAAACATTCAAATCTCCCTACTGACTCTAACATACTCAATACCTACAACTTCATTTTTCTTTTCTCTCTTCTCTTCTCTCCCCTTCACCTCACACTCTCTTCCCTCTACCGAAGGAAAAAACCCAGCCCAAAAACCATATTGTGGTTGCTCTAAAAGAAAGTTAATTTTTGAAAATGGAAAATGATGTATGAATTATACGCCTATAGTAAACTCAGTCCTTAAAGTTATTCATGTAATTTATAACTCCAATGGTATTTCGAATATGGTAGCTTGACGTACCCCCAATGGTCCTTGAATTTCAAATCAATCAATAATGAGTTTTTTTTTTACTAGACGTAATTCTTTGTAAGTAAAATCGTGAAATCAACGTAAACACTAGGGACAAACATGCCAATTAAGCCATTCACTCCCAAATTAGCCCTAAGTCAATGTTGTCCTCCTTAGCAATTTGACCTCCTTCTCATTTGCAATTTCAAACATAATTTTACTCCCAATTTAACACTAAAAGCTTCATCCTCTATTAGAGGCCAGAGTCCTTGTCCTCGCAATTGAAAGAAAAGAGACCACAAATATGGCTTGAAGTCATGGAATAACTCGACAAATCTCTAAGTAGGAATGAAGGTACTTTAGTTTTTTGTAAGCATATATAGGTTTCACTTTAGTAGTAGTATATGAATACTTTATGGATTTTAGTGCGAATTTGACTTGTAATGCATTTTGGTCCCCATTGTAGTATTGTTTAATATGCTGTTAGTAATTCTTTATTATGTTATAATTGTACGATGTGTTGAAGTATTGTGTATTTTTGTTGTGTGGACCACATGGTTTAAAGTTTTGTTTGCATTTTCTTTACCTTTTAAATGTGTATTGGATGTGGTGTAGTGGATTTCCAGTTGGATTGTGTATTTAGTTGCAGTGGGCCATTAATATGATATTGATATATAATTTTGCATATAAATATAAATGAGGGTCAACTAGTGAGTTTACTCTTAAGTTAAACTATGGAGAGGGATTAAAAAGGTGATAAAACTACTTATGTGGGAGCTAGGGATATCACTGAATATTTCTATAACATGGTATAAATCAATGGGGGTTGATAACCCTTAGGGACAAAAGGGAGGAATTGGGGTATAACAGGGTGATAGTACTAATTCTCTGTAGTCTGTTGTACTCGTAGAGTGTATGTACTGTATATAATATGTATCAGCAAGGTATGAACACAGAACAAGAGATATAGAAAGGTTCTTTTATTAATGTGTATGTTTCTTCTGTGTTTGTAGAGAGAAGTATGAGGAAATAATGTATAGAGAGAGAGAGAGAGGGAGCTGGTCTCGAAGAAAGGATAACCCCCCAATTTTGAGGGCTAAAGACCCTTTTATACGCATGGTGGCGGGTTTGACCCGTTTCGAGTTTGACCCGTCACCTCTGACTTTGACCCGCGGATCGGGTCCCGAACCGCTTGACCCTGACCTGACTATAAACGCGCCCATGGACGTACAGTTGGTCGGTGTCAAGGTATATATATATATATATCCTATCACACGGAAATAAACTTCTAATTGTTTTTTTAATGCATCAGATGGGTTAATTGTAACACTCCCGATTTTCAGCATAATTTAAAACAATTAAAGCTTACGAAATAAGGGCAAATCTATCATTAATATCAAATTAGAGCGGAAGCTAAACATAATAGTTTTGGGGTGCTATGCCACATCTAAGCTTGAGAACCTAGATGCACAGGCTACTAACTAGCTATTCATAATTCATAACAATATCTGAATACAAAAGCGGCTCGCAGGCCATCAACTAAAGCTAACTACTATCTAAACTAGGAACTGCCGCTCCGACTAGCGCGCTCACGAGCTAACTATATCTGTACCTGAAAAACATGCGGTGTAACAACCGTTAGCGAATAATGCTAAGTAACACACTCCCACCCGTCGAGTACAATAAGTATAAATATAGGAAAATTTATTTTGAGACTTGGGAATACATAGACCGGTATAGTCCTAAACAACTCCAGCTTTAAAGTCGAGATAATGACTCATGACATATCATAGATATCGACACGTTAAGATTACACCAAGATACAAGCATGCAAACTATAACCATAAGACAAGACAACAAGAGCAGATAATAATAAGATCACATAACAAGACATGTCCATGTTCCAACCTTTACGCCGCTCCAACCTTATATCAGTTCCAACTTGTACCTCCAGACCACCCTGTACTCCACCAGCCTTATCCCTCCGGAGCAATGCTCCCCGCCAACATAACCGCCAACATGACCACCAATCTCTCAGCACATGCAGTGCCATTACATAACAAAGGTACCGTAGCACCGTAACATAAGCACGCACAGTGCATCAAACCGCTAACATATCTTTTCCACCAATCTCATATCTTTTCATCACACATGGATATCGACACAACATACATGACTCGATAACGACTTCATCAAGGGATAATCAGGGGAAGGGCACGTCATGCATACTGACCCTCAACAACAAGTGACATCAAGACGACCACAAGACTAATAAGGAACATTATAGACCATACTTTGACACAACACGATACAAGCTTAGACCACATGCATAGACACGACTCACAATCACATTACGATACTTAAGACATCATACAAGACCCACAAACATCAAACGAGATACAACGGGGCATGGGGAAACGACCAACGGGGACCAACAACACACCCCACCGCCTACTAGTGGGCGGTACGGCGGGAAGACAACCTCCCGCCGGACTGCCGCCGGTGAGCACCACTGTTCTAGAGGGTATTCCGGCGGGTGGTCATCCACCCGCCGGCCACCTGCTGGAACGGTGGCCTTTTCCGGTGGGTGGTCGAGTGGGGGTTCGTCCCCTCCACCGACTACCCGTTGGAACGAACGTTACTCCTTGGCATAATTCCCCCTTTGGGAATTCATCAATTTTACCCAAAATCAAGTCCAAACACACCCAAACACACATCAACAACAATAGGGACTTGAACACATAGAATAAACCAAGGACTAACACGATTGAACCCTAAACATGCCAAGACTCAAGGATAAACACATAATTGTTCAAGCGCATTAAGAACCTCAAGGGCATCAAGAGACCATCATATAAAACCCTAAAGACAAGCTTTAAACATGCTTAAACACAAGAACATGCATATAAACACTTGCGAATACCAAGAACATCAAGATTATCAAGAAACCACAATATAAACCCTAAGACAAACTCTATCAAGGCATAATTACAAGATCACACATACAATCAATCAAAGAAGCCAATAAATAAAAGATAGCAAGGAAAATAGGTTTTGTAAGACATGGGTTACCTCTTAGCTTTAATTAAATCTCTCACAACTCCTAAGATCCTTCTTCCAGATTTTCCTCCAATTGGTCTTTCCTAAGCTTGGCGATGGGGAAATCTTTAGCTAGGTTTCTTAGGGAATTTCGAGTAGTAGAGATATGGGTGGAAAGGGTTCTAAATGGTTTCTTATCCCCTTTATATAGTTTTAGGAATCCTAATCAGAACCTGAATAGTAAAGTCCCACTTCCTTTATTTTTAACAGGCTTAAAGGCCTTTAATATAGGTAAGGGTCCACGATCCTCCGTGGACCACATTAATTAATTAAGGGATCCTGACCAAATTAGATCCTCTTTAATCATTCTCGACGGGATTAATTAAATAATTAATTCGGATTTAAAGGGTAAAACACGGGGTGTTACATTAATAGAGTTAGCGTAAGAGTCTGTAGCTTGGGATGTAATAAATAAAGTTGATTTATTTGATCCAATGAAAGTTTGGGGGTTTCATGGAGAGGGTTTAGGTGAGGGGCAATATAAGGATTGTAAATAGTGGGAACAAGAGTATAAATATATTGATAGTGAATATATTGAGAGTGCATTTGAATTGGATGAACCAATAATTGATGACTTAGCATATGAAATGAATGTAGTTCCAAAAGTAGAATTTGACGGGGTGGAGGAACCTGTAGTTCATGCACAACAACTAGAAAATCTTCCTAACAATTTGTACATTGATTTTTCTAAAGAGACTAGTAGGAAAGTGATAATTATCGAATGCGACGTTATTTAGGCGGTATTTTGAAGCTAATTTGAGTTTGAATTGGCTTTAGGCCTAATATGTTATAAATTGTGTTTAATTTAAGGTCTAATTTTGAGCACGTTTATGTTTTGAAGAAAAATAGGACTAATTCAAGGGTATTTTGCACAAAATGGAGCAAAATAGAATGTAACCATTTCTGCTGCCATGAGGTGTGCACGCTCAAGGAGCTCATGTCAGCACCATTTGCACATTGTTTCTGGTGCCGCGAGAGTATGCATGCTCATGCAAGGCCTCGTGTCAACATTTTCAAAATGTATGCCTAAACGTGTACAAGGGGGTGTACGCTCATGCAAGAGATCGTGTCGTCGCCTATTTTCAACAACCTATATATTTGGAGAATCTAATGACTCTTGGCAATCAATTAGTCTAGGTAGTTAGTCAGAGTTAGACCTTAGAATAGGAAGTTCTCTCATGTTCTTGAACCTAGAACACTTTACATTATTTCCAATTTGCATTTGAATTCCTAGTTAGACTCAATATTAAAGTTCAGTTTACATTTCCGAGTAAGGATTGAAGACTTCAAGTAGCAAGATCATCATCAATAGCTAAGTTTTCTTACTTTGATGTTTTTGTGTTCAATACTTTGAATTGTGATTTTGATTCTTGTGCTTTGATAATTAATTGTGTGATGATTCTTGTGCTTTGCTTTGTTCTTTTCATAACCATGTGTGAGTAGTTTAATTGTAGGAGGATGCGAATGTAGGTTAGGTGTTTGGTTTTATGACTTTGAATTAGTTGAGT